TAAAAATTGCAGTGGGGTTGGTGCCATAGTAGAACAAAAGTCCCAAATTGCAGGTTGTCAACCATCTATAGTTCTTGTCTATATGAAAGAAGCACTTGGAATCAAGTTTCTTTTCTAAGAATGTCACTGCTATAACCAGATACTGTACTTTTAAATAGTCCATGATCACATGCTTTTAAAATGTATGTTCCTCCTTTTCTACCACTGTCCCATATCTGATCTTGTAGTCTCGTATGTATATTTATTTGTATTTAATATGCCATCCAACATTACTTTCTAAGGCTTAAATTTTCAAAAGTGACCAGTAATTTTGTGTGCCTCAGTTATTGAGTGCTCAACTTGAGACACCCTAGCACTTTTCAGAAAGAGCTAAGCACCCATCCTTTGAAAATCAGGTCCCTGTAAGTTGTCTCAAAATATATAGCCCATCTTTTATCTATCTTGTATGGTAATTACAAGGTAACTAACTTAGTTGTGCTCTATCCCTAACCGTTTTATAGTACTCTTATATTCACAGCCTTTGTAAAATGTGATTTATCTACCTGAGTGTCTGTTGTTTCTCTTGTTTGATTACGCATATGTAGTTATAAATGATTTCTTGAGATTGTGCGGCAAGTTTTGAAATATTTATGTCTTTGGTTACAGTATTTCTTTTTGTAAGAAGAAGGAGGAGTACTTGTGGCACCTTAGAGACTAACAAATTTATTTGAGCATAAGCTTTTGTGGGCTAAAACCCACTTCATTGGATGCATGCAGTGGAAAATACAGTAGGAAGATATATATACACAGAGGACATGAAAAAATGGGTGTTGCCATACTAACTATAACTAGAGTAATCAGTTAAGGTGGGCTATTATCAGCAGGAGTAAAAAAAAAACTTTTGTAGTGATAATCAGGATGGCCCATTTCCAACAGTTGACAAGAAGGTGTGAGTAACAGTAGGAAAAAAATTAGCATGGGGAAATAGGTTTTACTTTGTGTAATGACCCATCCATGCCTAGTCTTTATTCAAGCCTAATTTAATGGTATAAGGTTAGCGCAATAAGGGCCAAATTCTGCCAGCAAATACTGGTGCATAATTCGCACAGCTTCAGTAGGAGTTGCTTATACAAAAGCTGTAGCATTTACCAAAATTGATGATGGCGTCAGAAATCACAACCTAATAGAAAATGAACTAAAAATATCTAATATACTGAAGTGATTAGACTGATGGTATGTGTGAGTTTTACTGGGGGAGAGGGATGCGGTAGGGAGTGGGTTGATCATGATAAATGAAAGATTATATGTATGCAGTTGCTTGATTCCAGCAGCTGAGGTTTTAAGAAAAACATCATATATAATGAGACTTGTGATAAAATTGAAAGAGTTAGCAACACTAGGACAGGTAACAAACTGTTCACATATCCCTCATTTCTAGGGACATTACTTAGTATAATCTGAAAGTTCCCTCTTAAACTATCATTTGAGCAGCTAAAATTGAAATGAAGTATAAAAGTGTGTCTACATTGGTGATAAGAGGGATTTTCCATGGATTTCAGCTAGCTCAATTGAGCTAATCTGATTAAGAAAATAAATTTATTTTCCTAGTCTAAACAAGGCCTACGTGTCTGGTTCAATCCAGTGCTTTAAAGATCATAAAGAATTTACCCCACAACTCTTGAAAACCTAGCTCATTCTGAACTTCTGCTTACAAGGATTACATAAAGGCTAAAGAGTAACACTGTTAACCAATGATCATATTAGCTATAGTAATCTCGTATGTGCGCCTTATGGCAATACCCATTATCAATAACTTCATTTATATTATGCAGAACTTTAAATCTAACATTTACAAAAATGAAAAATGAGGTAACCTAAGGTTTGTGTGGCACAGAGGTCAATTTGGAATGTTCTCATAACGGAATGTTCTCATACTGAGGGAGAGTTGAATACTATGTCACAGTGGGAAACTGGGGGAAAGTTTGCAATGAAAGTTGTAGGGAATTTCCCCATTTTGACAGGAAAATTGTTGAGAATTCCAGTTTTTGCCAGACATTTTGGGAATACAGCACCTTTCATATTCCTATAGTCTAGAACTGGATCCCAATTCTTCTAAGTCAGGGATCAGCAACCTTTGGCATGCGGCCCATCAGGGAAATCTGCTGGTGTGCTGGGACTGTTTGTTTACCTGCAGCGTCTGCAGGTTCGGCCAATCGTAGCTTCCATTGGCCACAGTTCTCCGTTCCAGGCCAATGAGGGCTGAGGGAAGCGGCGGCCAGCACATCCCTAGGCCCGCGCCACTTCCCGCAGCCACCATTGGCCTGGAATGGCGAACCACGGCCAGTGGGAGCTATGATCGTCTGAAGCTGCGGATGCTGCAGGTAAACAAACCGTCCCGGCCCGCGAGCGGATTTCCCTGACAGGCCACGGGCCAAAGGTTGCCGATCCTTGTTCTAAGTCAATGGGAGGTTTGTCATTGACTTCAATGGGAATAGAACTGAAAGTGGAATTTTGGACTTTAAATTAGTTTCCAGCATCCCTTAAGCAAATTCTAGTCTCAGTACAGTAGACACTCATTAGTAGCAACATATCAATGCCCTTTTGCTATGTTGCTCCTAAGCAGCTATTGCTGTTATGGGGAGTGTCGACCATTCACAGTAGGGAAAGTGTTCCCTGGGGAAATGTTGCTCGTAAGCGACAGCTGCTCTTAGAAGGTGTTGCTGCAAACAAGCACCTACTGTATTTCATTCTGTACTCTGGAAAGAACACAGAGAAACTTTTTATGTTTAAAAGTATACTGTAAGGACACTTTTATTATTTCTGCATTGTTATCCCTCCCAGATTTTATATTTTAGCCATACTGCTCAAATACCCTCTAATCATGCACCAGAATACATCTTTTAAGGAAAGTATTTGCAATCTTTTCTAGTCCTTGTGTGATAGCAGCCAATGACTGCTCATTACATTCATTTACTATGTTGCCTAATTGGTGCTATGACTGCTCATTACATTCATTTACTATGTTGCCTAATTGGTGAGAAGATATAGGTCTTGTTTTACTAATCTGAGGAATATTAACAAATTAATCTCTGATATTAGCTGTGCTCTGCTGCAGAAGCCTTCCTAGTGTTTCATTTGGAGCACTTATGATTGGATATCTGTGTGCATGAGTGCAAAGGTCCTGAATGTACGTTTATTAGAAACTCAGGATTAAATAGTCGACAATGTAAAACCTTGCAGCGATCTCACTTAAGGAACAATAAAATGTCATCTTTGCATAGTGCTATTTGCAATGGTGTAACATCAGTAGTTTCATAAGAACAAAATTAAATTCTTAGATTCTTTTATTTGGAAGTGTAACATATGTATGTTTCAGCATGTGCCATAAAGAAAACTAACTATAATCCTAGTTAGTTTTCTTTATATATATATTTGGTGGGGAGTTTCTCACTTCCTTAGCTGAACTCCCAGGATTTGTCTCCTAAACATTCAGTCCAAAATTCTAGTTACTATCTATTGTGGCCCAGGAGGATAGGTTGAAAGTCCCATCAGAGACAATGAAGAGTGCTCATGATTGGCAGGCAAGATGGTTGTTGAGTGGCATGAGCTGTTGATTTTCTTTGCAGCTGTTGAGAGCACCACCCCTCTAGCATTCCTAGTCTTTGCTGCCTGAGGAATAATATGCCTGCATCAGGAATCAGTCCCACTCATCAGCACAGAACCTTGCCAATTGACCACAAGGCCAACCCTTTCATTTTGCTTCTAACTTGTACAATTATTCCCATCAGTGAAGTGAAATGCAATAGGATACATTAATGTACAATAAAACTACACTTTTAAATGCACAAAGGTCAGGAAATGGAAAAATAAAGGTCCTAGTCACATTAATTTGCCCCATTGCACATATATACTAGCTTTGATATATGTACCTAGTGGGGCAAATTCTGTTTCTGACAAGAGATTCCATCCCATTTGAAGTCTGTTGTACATTGTTATATCTCTCTGAGACAGTCTCAGTTTCCTTATAAATGTCTCTAGTAGCAGCAGTTCCACTTTCCTCCATGTAGTGTGTCACAGGGAAGTGGGGTCATTAGATTACTGCAGTCTGGACACAAGCTTGTGCCACTGGAGTGCTGGTAGTCCTCCAGGCCTTCCCACAATTCTCCTGTGTGCCCAGAAAAGACAGACACACTCTCCCACAGTTACTAGGAAAATATTCAAAAAGCAGCTCATCTTACAGCAGTGCCGGGAACCCTGGGATGTGCCCTCTGAAGTCTTAGTGCTGCACACGAATGAGTGCAGCACCATGGTAGGTGCAGCAGCTCAAGGGTCATTTCACAGTGTGACTGATCTGACTCGAGTTAGGCTAATGGAGAGAAGTAATTCCGTTTACTCTGCCACTAATACATATCCATTATGGCAGAAGGGGTCATTTCTTTTTCTGGCAGGAGTACTTTGGATCTCAATCTGGGAGGAGAATTTCTTTTTGAACACTGGCTGGTGTCTCAAAGTGGTGGAAATTGTTCTTTATGGGGAGCATGAGCTCAAATGTATCCCTATGTAAACTCCACTGGAAATTACCTCCGCGATTAATTTAGCTGATGGTGTTTGAAAGAGGATGGTGTTTCTATTAATTTAGAAGAGAGTGGATCTCTAGTAGTCTTTGCCCCATCCCCTGGCCCTGGAATGTATGTATGGGTGTGTAGAGAAATGAACCACCATCTGTTTCTCCACAAAATCCCTATTACAGAAGAGCCTGGTGGCACAGGGGAACCTCCTGTCTATCTTGCATTTACAGCTGTCTCCATGGGCATGATTAATCAATACAAAGTTTGATACACGATATGCGTCTCCTGTAGAAAAAAATTCTGTTTCTCTTGTTTCACAGTCATGTATGAAGAGACTGTGTTCATTCATTGTTTTCTCATTCCAGTGCAACGTTTTTCCCCCTTCTAAGCTGGCATATAAAATTCAACAAAGTGCATTCTAAATAATATTCTTTCCTTTCTGCCCCTTCACAGAATCTGTACCAAAACAGGTTCCTAGGCCTGGCTGCCATGGCGTCTCCATCTAGGAACTCTCAGAATCGGCGCCGGTGTAAAGAACCGCTCAGATACAGCTACAACCCTGACCAGTTTCATAACATGGACATCAGGAACAACTCCCATGAGATGGTAACCATTCCACGGTCCACCAGTGACACTGACCTGGTCACTTCAGACAGCCGATCTACTCTAATGGTCAGCAGCTCGTATTATTCCATAGGACACTCACAGGACCTAGTGATCTATTGGGATATAAAGGAAGAAGTAGATGCGGGGGATTGGATCGGCATGTATCTCATTGGTAAGTCCTGCCTGCCTTTGCATTTTCAATTGCTTTTATTTTTTTAATTTTGAGTGTATTCGTGAACGGTAAAGTAAGGGGCTTACAGAACTTTCTTGGTCTAACATAGGCAAGCTTATATACACAATTCTTCAAAAGCCTCTTTGTCCTATATTGTCACACAGTCCTGAGCTTCTTTTGCCTGAGTAAGCATTAACTAGGATCTTTAGGGCCCTGTCTACACTGTGGACATTTTCAGCTCGTTTGATTTCAAAGCAGTTTGAATTTTTGGGGAAATGTCCCCAGGGTAGACAAAGACTAGGATTCCAAGTGTCTAGCACTGCAAGTGCTTGCTCACCTGAGTAGTCTTTACTGCAGTAAAACTACTCGCATCATTAAGCATTATGCAAGCATATAAGGTTTTGCAGAAACAGAGCCTTAGCCCTTTGAAAAGCATTGAGCAGACTGTCTTTTCTCTGTATAACCTAAGAATATTTAGATATGAGTAATAAAAATTAGTAACAACGGACACTTATCTAACTTTTTTTCTTCAGTACAAAATTAATATTTTTAAATACTTCATTTTAAAAAAATAGTTAGAAATTTAAAATCTTTGGGCAGGATTCAGAACAGATGCCCTGAGGGCTTCATCCTCCAATGTGCTGAGCACTCAGATCTCATCCAGTGACGCACATAAGCATGTGGTTAAAGTTAAGCACATGAGTTATCCTGTTGGCTTCAGTGGGGATACCTCACAGAGTCATAGAAATGTAGGGCTGGAAAGGAACTTGAGAGATCATCTAGTTCATCCCCCTGCGCTGAGGCAGGATCTAGTATACATAGGCCATCCCTCACAGGTGTTTGTCTAACATGTTCTTAAACTCATGTGCTTAAAGTTAGATACGTGCTTAAGTGCTTTATTGGATACGTCCAGAATGCTCAGCACCTTGAAGGAGCAAGCCCTAAGAAACATACCAACACAAAAAACAAATGGTCACTTACACCAAAAATCACACCACAGGCAGGCTGCTTCCAGTCCCAAGAGACCAGTCACTAACCCCAGATCAATTGGTAACCTACATCTCATATCAACGACAAGACCTGTAGCCAATCCTGTAATAAACTACCTAAAGGTTTATTAACTAGGAAAAAGAAATGAGTTATTTACAGGTTAAAGCAAGCAAACATATGCACACAAATGAGTGATCATCTGAATCCTAAGAGTGACAGAGTTGTAGTGATCTGTCAATTCAAAGTATCTTTCAGGGTGGACACAGGGGTAACCCCTGGGGATCTCTGCTTCAGTGTCACGCTGTCTGGAGTGGCTCACAACTGTGAGTGCCTCCAGACAGCCTGACACAACTCTAACAGGATTATGCCACTACAGCACAAGAGGCTGTCTACTCTGCATTTAATACAGCAGAATCCTGGCCAGCAGAGCTGTTTAACATAGTGCACTGGCTAATCAACCCAGATTCCACAGCCCCGACACTGGACCCAAGCATCAATCACTGTGAAGAGCTGTCAGTGTACCTCGCTGTTAAAATCAACCAAATATATATGGAGCTAGTTGGGAAGGGAAATTCTACCCGTGACCAGATTGCATTATCCACCTCACCACCCTTGACTGAGTTTGGTCCCATCACACATTCCAAAGGTCAAGACGCTCTGAAAATATTACAGCCACAACAAGTTAAACAGATCCATGCTGGATGCCAGTACTAATGGAAATGGTCAGTGGCTCCTTCAGAGCACACACCAGACTCCTTGAAAAATGCAATAGTTCGTCCAGGACTCAAGAAACTATCAGTCAACCTTGAACTTCAACTACTGTTCTGTCTCCAACCTCCCATTTCTGGTCAAAATAAGTTGGAAAGTAGTAATCAGCAGAATATCAAAACCCTACCCCAAGCAGAGTTTTCGTCCCAAAAAGGGAAATGTGCCAGAGACTCCCTGAAGCTTGCCAAGCTATTGCTGTTCACTTTACATGGAAGGTTCTCAGATACTGCAGTGATGGACAGCAATATAAAACCCTAAAACACAGAGATTCTATGTACATAGTACAATAGTGCTGGGAATGTGTTCTTGTATACTTTGAATATGAAACATAGAATGGTACATTTTTCTGGTACAACAACCTGACAATTACCCTTGTAGTAGCCAGTAAATTACAAATTAACTTGTTACACAGTTAATCCATGGGAGGGGAAAATCCATGGATTCTTGTGGAATAGGTTTTCCCCGGATTTGTTCAAAGGTTTCTAGAATCTACATATCTATTTAAGAAGAAAGTGTCCTGGCCCTTCTGGATATGAAGGTAACCTTCACAATGTAAAATGATACATGGCTGGGTTTTTGAGTTAGCAGCCAGCCAGACTGGAACAAGAATACCAAAAAAACTGTGTGCTTCCCCAGTCAATTCAATAGGGGATTAGCCTGGAAGCCTATTATCACCACTTAAATGACAACATTGTTAACTATTTCCATGTTGATGATCATAACCAGAAATGGTCAGTTAATGTGGTTGTGTGTTTAGCTAGGGGGTGGTGTTATATCCTGAGATTCTTTTTCATTTGAATTCATGGGAATAAAGCAGAAAGTTTTAAACTTGGAAATAGTTTAATGTTATGTCGATTCATGAGATAACTGAGAAACTGTTTGTGCTCCATGGTGATCCTGCAGAGTGTTGTGGTATTTTATTGTTGTTTTTTAATAAAGCTTGGTCCAGCAGCATTAGTATTATTATTTACTGTTTGTGTTATCTAGGACCTAGGAGCCCTAGTCATGGATGAGAAGCCCATTGTGATAGGCGCTGTACAAACACAGAACACAAAAACAATCCCTGCCCCAGAGTTCATAATCATTTTCATTTTAATAAATTAGGAAATATCCCTATATGTTCTCATTGGGTCCTGGTGTTGAAACCAGCAACAATCACAGAGAAATTTTGGAGATATCTGATAAACCACAAACTTCTAAATAAAGATAGTCCAAACCTTGAAAGGACACAGCGTTTGGCAACAAGGCATATCTGGTGGGTAGAAGATATAGTCTGATGAAGAAGGTTTCAAGAAGAGAGAAGAGTGAAAAGGACTAGATCATAGTGGACAAGTATTTAGAGAATGAGACCCCTGGATGTTTTTGTGAAGGAATATTCCTATTCAGTGGTTAAAGTAGATTGAAACAGGAGAGGGGGTGCTCTCAACATACCAACCAAGGATGTGGGGAAATTCAGGAAGTATGTTGCTTACTGAAGCCCGGGAGAGAAGTAGGAGTGCTTCCTCTGCTTTTACGGAAGGGGGAGGAGGGGTTGGTGCTCTCCCCTCCGCCTTACTTGAATTCCTGTTCAGATATTAGCTGATGGCAAATTGGGAGCTCATCTTTATCTAAAGCTGGTAAAAGATAAGTTTAGAACTGATAGCAGAGTTAATCTCCTTCTCCAAAAAGGGATTGTCATCCATGAGGAGAGGTTGTACAGAATAAGTTAAGAAAATGATGGTCATGTAATTAGTGTCCAATAATACTATTGGGTATACCTGTTAAAAAAGCTACATGGACTCCAATGATAACAGAGTGGAGAAGTTAATACATCCCCACAATCAACAGCTGATTTTGTAAAAATGTGTGATAGAAGAGCATTAGCAAAGTTCATCAGTTTGAGAGAAAACATGAATATGGAGTCTGTTAAAATATAGACCTTGTTTATCCAATCTGCTTTGCGATTGGCAATAGCTAGGCAGCAAGAACATGTGGATTCCTCTGACCCAAGAATGTGCCCTCCGAAGAATATAAAAGATATTCTGCCTATGGAAATCAGAGTTTTGTGTTGTTGTTAAGCTTGATCTTGAAGCATTGTAACTTCCCCCAAGACTTGCTTCATATGGTCCTTATTTCACTCATTTTTAGCATTAGGTATCAGCTGTAAAATAAATTGCTAGCTATGTGTAACAGAGGTGTAACAGTTTTCCTAATGTATCTGTTTGTCACTTCTCAGGAGAACTATAACATTTCTAATAAACACAATCCTCCAAAAATATGTCCTCAGTCAAAAACACATGTAAACACTCAAAGGTAAGAATAACTACCCTGATTACACAACTCACTTGATGTTTAAAATCTCAGGGGCTGATGAAGGTTTCTTAGCAAAAAAGCTAACAGCAAAATATTTACTCTTTTTATGTGAAACCAATACAAATGTCATTTGTCTGAATAGCTAAGATTTACGTATTGGTATTTCCTATATAAATAAAAATGTGTTTTAGTGGAAGTCTTGCAACAGGTGGAATATTTGCAGTTACTTATCTGATGGTTTTCCTCCTTCACCTCATTTACTGTTAGTATATGTTATGGTACAGAGCCTCTTAGAATTAATATGGACTTCTGGCAGCTGTGTATAGATAAAGAGCTATCTTCTAATTACTGCAGTTACATTTCAGTTGCTACTATATTTCCCTGCTCTCCTCATATCAGTATCTGCTATTGAATGGCTTATAAGAAGTGCCTAAACTAGACTTGGAAAGAAACTTTTGGCCTGGTGCCTATAAATACTGTTATTAGTCAGTGAATCCATTCGGAGCTAATATTGTGCTGTACGTACCAATAGACAATAGACTTTCTTCTTTCAGCAATTTCTTTAGGGAAAACAAAACATTTTAAAAGTTATTTAATAAAAGTTCTTTATATACAAACACTTTCTGGTCCAATTTCCTGTCCATATTTTCTTTTCAGTCAATCCTTTTCAAGTTTATATGTATATAAAAAGTTCTTGACCTAATTAGTAGTTGAAATTTAGCTTAAAAATTTATGATTTTTTCCCTCTGCTCTAGTCTTTGATTTTATTTCCCCCCAAAAGGCAATTCTTGCTTCAGTCAGACATACCTCATTTTTTAAGGATTTTGATTAATACATTTTTACATTTTTCAGATTAATTTGATATTCAGAAGGCCTAATATTAAGCCTATTGAAGTCAATGGAAAAACACTTTAATTAACTTAAAAATGGGCTTTGGATCAAGCCCTATTTGTACAATAGTTTTTCCATATATGCAGCGTGTGCAAGCAGATGATGTAACCCAAGCAATGTACTACCAACCGCAAAGAAGAGAATTACTTGTGTGATCTAGTGACCTGCATTTAGGATTGAGAACCACAAATTCCTAAATTTAATTCCCACCTCTGATATTGGCTTCATCTGTGCCCTTGGTGTAGCCACTTAACCTCTGTGCCTCAGGGCTGATCTACACTAGGAACTTACATCGGTATAGCTATATCGCTCCTGGGATGTGAAATATCTACACTGTTGAGAGATGTAGCTATACCAACTTAACCCCCGATGGAGACAGTGCTAGGTCGATGGAAGAATTGATTGCATTGACCTAACTACTTCCTATCAGGGAGGTAGTACCTACATAGGTAATGTCTACACTGAAGTGCTACGGAATCGCAGCTGCAGCATTTTAAGTGTGGACATACCCTCAATGTTACGATCTGTAAAATAAGACTAATCACAATATCTGCCTTGAAGAGGATTAATTAACTAATATTAAGGGAGCTAATTAGCTAATGTTTGGAATTTGCTAAGTATTGTTAATATTATGACTAGCATTACATCATAAACAGATAACGCACTGAAAGACTGCAACCAGTTGGAGGAGTTTTTGGCTGCTAGCTTTTTTCTCCTGTAGTTTTACGTACATGGTAGAAAAATCATCACCAGGTATCCAAATATGTCCCTTTTAAGAGTATGTTTTCCCATGAAATAATATTCCAGACACTGTGAATCTCTTTGATGGTGTGTGGGACAAATAGGTTTTCTAGGTCCAATGCAACAGTCACCCCATAACAAAGCAGGCAGGTGGTACTCTGGCTGCAGTCTTTACTATGAAGCCAATGGAACCCCACCTCACAGGGATGTTGTGAGGGTAAATATCTTAAAGATTGAGAGGTGCTCAGCTCCTACAGTGAAGGGAGCCAACCAGATAAGTGCCCCAAAATAGATACTGAGGCCAATATTGTATACGCAACAATCATTCACCCAGTGATTTGCTGATAATTTAATCAACTGAAGAGACCTGTGAATTGGAAGATGGACCATGGCCATGCTTAACAGTACACATTGTGAGTAGCCCATTGACATCAGTGGGGCTACTCACAGTAAGTAAAATTAAGCATGTGCATAATTCTTTGCAGGATCAGGGCTTAAGACAACAAATCCATTTCACATCGGTTGTCAAACAGCCTATGTATTTTTTCTGTTATACAGCCTTTAAGTTCCCTTTCTCCATTTCATCCCATTACTCCTAAACCAAACCAAATAATTCCTTTCCCACCTCAGTGTTTACACATTTTAATTATTCTTAGACTTGTAATGTCCTTCCCACACACGAGTTGTTGCATATGCATTGAGCTTTCTTAATTTTTCCTTATCAGTTGATCCCTCTGGCCCCCAAATTACTTTTGTTCACTGAACACCTTCCAGTTTGTTATGATTTGCGGTGGTGAGGTGCCCAGAACTGAATGCAATATTCTAAATACAGTCACACTGAGCTCTATAAAGATGCTTTGTGTTTTGATGCCTCTGTTAACTCAACCGTTTTCTGCTGCTGTATCACATTGCAAACTTCTGACTAATTTGCTGTCCAGTGTCACCCCTAAAAAAACAATGAGGAGTCCAGTGGCACCTTAAAGACGAACAGATTTATTTGAGCATAAGCTTTCGTGGGTAAAAAACCCACTTCCCCTGTGGTATATATCTTTCAGCATTGCTGCATCTTAGTTTTCTTCTTGCCATCGAGTATATATGTTTCACATTATTTCCCCCTTGCTATTTTAGTTAGCATTTTTACCCAGCTGAATCTTATTTCTTGCCCATATTTAAAATCTTTCAGTGTCCCTTTATATATTATATTTCTATCCTATGTGATGTTTGCATCTCTTCCCATTTTAGTATTCTCAGCAAATTTCAATAGTATGCTATTGCCTCCTTTTAAGGTCTGATCCAAAGTCTATTATAATCAATAGAAAGAGTCTCATTGACTGCAGTGGCTTTGGATCAGGCCTTTGATCCATTTGACGTCTGTGGTACCCCACTGTACATTGCCCCCTCCAAAATTCAGTATATTGTTGTGTAACACTGCTCTGTGCCTGCATTCCTTCCAGTTTTCAGTTCATGTGACAGTGTTCAGTATCCAGGCTGATTTTAGCAATGTTTGGAATAAGATATTGTGAGACACTTTACATTTTTAGCAAATGCTCTACTAAAAAACAGGCATATTACATCTACCATATCAGTAAAGGCAATTTTGGAAATGCAGGAGCTTCAGAGCTGACAATATTTTCAGTATGAACCTGTAGCTGGGGCAGGGCTGTCTGGGGGCTGCTTAGGCTTCACTGTAAAAAGAAACCGTGGGCTGGCAGTGACACTGCAGCCAATTCAGAATAAGAGGATAAAGGTTTCAAAGGAAAAACAGAATTTGCTGTAGGTTGTGACATACTCAGTCTGGAGAATGACCATCAGGGTCCCTTGGATTTTTTGTTTGCTGGTTTTCCTACCCTGGTCAGGTGATTCAGGCTCCAACTCTATCACTCCTGCTCTTTCCATTGCTTATATCAGCTTTTCTTAAAATAGAACCCCTGTGAGGTGGCCAAGAATTGCTGTAATCATACTGCTCTGTTTTCTCCCATTCCCCTCCCCCAAGTTTTCCTCTCCTCTTCATCTTTTCTCCAGTCTTTATCCTCTCTGCTCCGCTCGTTTTATTGTCTCTCGTTTCTCCTACCTTTTCCCTTTGTGTTTCTTCCCTCTCCTCTAACCTCCTTTTTCTCTGCTATCTAAGTGGTGTAAATGGGGCTACTCATGCTCAAAGTTAAACATATACTTAAATCTTTACTGGATTGAGGACAGAGTGCTTGTAGAATCAAGCCCTAGTTCTTCAAAATGCTTCCCTGTAATAATCTTTGAGAGGACAGAAGCTTACTGTAAATACCAGCATTGTAATTCGGCCTGAGAATATGTTCTTCTTCGAGAGAAGTCCCTGTGGGTGCTCCACTCCAGGTGCTGGTGAGTCCCTGCGCCTTCACTCGGAGATTTGTACAGCAGTACCCGCACGAGCAGCGCATGCGCAGAGCCTGCCTCATGCGCTGCTGGTGCCTTAACAGCGCACGCGTGGCCATGACTCCTCAGTTTCTTCTCTACCATCCCCGGCCTGAGACAGAGCTCTGCGGTCCTGCTTAAATTTTTTTGTCACTTTAGCATAGTTAGTTAGTTGTTAGTATAGTATTTTAGTCAGATAAGTTTTATTTCTTTGACCCTTCCTTCCCCTCCCCCACAAAAAATTATTTTTCCTACCGTTTTTCCCTCACAGTTAGTTAGTGATTTTGCATGATGCCTGGCTCCCCAGGCTTTAAGAGATGCACTACGTGAAGAGAGGCCATCCCCATCTCTGATGACCATCCTCAATGTGTCCGCTGTTTGGGGGAATCCCATATCCCACAAAAATGTGCCCATTGTAGCAAGCTCAAAGCCAGGGCATGAAAGAACAGAGACCTCAGGCTCAAGTTAATTTTGATGGAAAAGTCCCTCAGACCTCACCTCTGATCCAGGACATGAGTTCTCCTCAGGACAGAGCCCTCCTCAGTCCAACAAGGACAAAAAATCCACAAAAAAACAGCCAGCTTTGTCACCTCACAGGGACCAGACTGCTGCCAAACTCTCCCTGAGCAGGTCTGTTTTGTCTGTGCCGACCTCAGCGCATATGATGCTCTGGGCACCTTCGGTGCCGCTCATACTCTGGCTGCCACCAATATGCACCACTCTGGCTTGAAGTTGCCTTCCTCTTCTTTCACAGCACCGCCCGGCACCACAAAGGACTCAGCGCCACTTCAGGCGCCCTTGTCTGTGCCGCACACGACCGCTAGTTCAGCCGCAGCACCGACTCCTCAACCACCTCTGGCGATACACAAGGTGCCACGCCAATCGGCACCAACCGACCCTGTGGTCCCATCACTGCACTCGGTGCAATACCCATCAGTGCCATCGACATTGGGGATTTGCTTTTTTGCCAACCCCGGATTCTCCCTTACTGGGTACAGATCTCTCATCGAGAACGTCGGCACCATACTGACAGTTATCCCCTCAGCGCTCTTACTTTTCTAGTGGTGAGGATGATGAAGTGGAGGGAGTTTTTTCACCACACCACTCCTTCCCAATTGACACACCTACTAATGCTGGACCAATAAGATCAAGGTCCTCATATGCCAGGGACTTATCACCCTGGTATGGGCACCCTTGGATGGGACCACCCATGTCCTTCTCCAGACAATGGCATTATTGGAACCCATGGGGTCTTACAGGAGACATCACACCAGTTGACACAGCCCATGGAGAGATGACACCAAATCTCCTCCTCAACCCTCACACACCTCTGTGTTGTTGGTATAGGAGGAACCTGTAGTGAGGCTCACAAAAGAGGTACCACCCGATACCTCTCCAAATAACAATAACCTATCTTCCTCACCTGATGCTGCCACCACTGACAACGGCAGATGATTTCACCTGCTTTCAAGACCTATTTAAAAGGGTGACTAGCGAACTCAAGATCACTATGGAGGAGGTCTCAGACACTCAACATGAACTGACAGATACCTTGCAACCTGCGGTCTCCTCCAAGATTGCCCTCCTGATCAACGGAGCTATCATGGACCTGGCCAAAAATATCTGGCAAACTCCAGCCACTATAACCCCAACCTGCAAGAGGGCAGATGGGAAATATTATGTCCCCTCCAAGGGCTCAGAGTTTCTTTTCACACATCCAACACCAAACGCTGGTAGTGGAAGCAGCGAACCAAAGAAACAAGCAACAGCATTTCCGGTCCACTCCTTCTGACAGGGACAGTAAAAGAATGGATGTATTTGGCTGCAAGGTTTATGCATCTTCCACACTGCAATTCAGGGTGGCAAACTATGCCCCCATCCTAACCAAATATGACCACAAAAGTTATGGGAAATCCAGGGAATTTATTAACAATATTCCAGAAGAAAAGGGACAACAATTCAAGGCAGTGGTATCTGAAGGACAAATAACTCCAGGCTGCCCTTGATGCTGTGGACACTGCAGCCAGATCCACTGCGATAGCTGTTGTTATGTGTTGGGCTTCATGGTTCAACTCTTACTCTTTTCCTTGTGAGATACAGAACACCATGGAGGATCTCCTCTTCGATGGTGAGAAATTATTTGTAGCAACGACCAATGAGGTGCTGCAGACCATGAAGGATTCCAGGGCTACCCTGCGCAATCTTGGCCTCCATACATGCCCTATAGAAGGAGACAATATAGGTATCAGCCTTACCATTGCCCGCAATACCTGATATACACTCAACAACAATGGCCATATGATCATCAACAGCATCAACGCCAGAGATCTAGGCTTCAATGCTACTGCCCCCTAACTAACAAGCAGACTTGAAGCCTTGGTCGAGGTCATAGAAGACCTCCCACACACTCCAGCACTCACACTAATTACTTAACCCATTGGTCACCGTTTGCTCCCATTTTGGGCAGATGGGCTCTAGAGGTTATCCGATCAGGCTTATACCATCCCTTTCCTGTCCATATCTCCCACCATCCCCTCTCCCCGTCCCTCTTCAGGGCCCCCTCTCATGACCACTTGCTCCACCAAGCGGTACAACATCTTCTGCAAATTGGAGTAGTGGAAAAGGTACCGATCAGCACAGAGGAAAGGGTTTTTACTCCCACTATTTTTTGACGGAAAAGAAAAGTGGGGGATGGCAACCCATTCTCGACCTCAGGTGACTCAATAAGTTCTTCAAAAAGCAAAAATTCAAAATGGTTATCCTAGTGACCACTATTCCAGCGCTGGAGCAGGGAGATTGGTTTTCAGCTCTTGACTTGCAGAATGCTTATTTTCACGTAACTATATACCCTGCCCACAGACGCTTTCTCTGTTCTGGGAACAAACCACTACCAATACAGGGTTCTAGCCTTTCGCCTCTCAACAGCACCCCGCATTTTCTCCAAGATCCTCGTGGTGGTTACTGCACATCTCAGGGTAAAAGGAATAATTTTCCTTTACCTGGACGATTGCCTCCTCAAGTCGAAAATTCGCAAAGAAGCCATCCAATCCACACAGATGACCATCGACTGCTTTCAGGGCCTTGGCCTGCAAATCAACACAAACAAATCCACATGAATCCTTATTTAATGTCTGGAGTTCATAGGTGCACACCTCGACTCCACAACTGGCATCGCATCTCTTCCAACCAACAGATTCATCAACATAAAGAATCTGGTCACCAAACTGCAGAACAGCCCACAGGTCACGGTTAACGATTGTCTACAACTTCAAGGCCACATAGCCGCATACACTTTTGTGGTCAGGAATGCACTCCTGTATCGCCGATGCCTACAAGGTTGGCTAGCCACAGTCTGCAAACCAAATGTACGCAGACTACACAAACTTCTCACCATGCCTACCAAGATCAAGGACTCACTCATATGGTGGACTCGACCACACAACCTTTGTTCCGGGGTCCCATTTTTACAGGAATCCCCCGCAATTATAATTACTACAAATGCATCCCTCACTGGTTGGGGGGACACACATTGGACACTATACCACTCAAGGACTATGGTCCCCCACAGAGACCTCATTAAATATAAATCTTCTAGCACTCTGAGTGGTCCACAATGCCTGCCTCCACTTTCTCCCACTCATCAAGAACCAAAAGATCAGAATCATGACCGACAGCATTGCTTCTATGTTTTATATGAACAGGCAAGGGGGAGCCCGATCCCATTCACTTGCACCAAGGCTATGAAACTTTGGAATTGGTGCCTCCAACACAACATCGATATATCCATCTCGTACCTGCCCGGTGCACAAAACACCACAGCGGATGAATGGGACATAAACAACACCATCCTCCAGAACATCTTCAAAACCTGGGATTATCTACAACTGGACCTCTTTGCAACCATGACCAACAAGAAATGTCCCAGATTCTACTTCAAAGCAGGTCTGGGGCAACATTCCATGGGAGACGCGCTTACGATCAGATGGAATGACAACCTACTATACGCATTCCCACTGATACCACTCCTACACAAATTAGTATTAAAGATACGAACAGAGAGGGCCAGGATCATACTGATCGCCCCTACATGGCCCAGACAGCCATGGTATCCACTTCTAACACGGATGTCCACCTGTCCGCCAATCTCCCTTCCCCCTTTCTGAACTTATAGTCCCAACGCAGGGGCCATCTACACCACCCAAACATAGCAATGCTCCACCTCAAGGCATGGCTTCTCAATGGTTCTCCCATGAAGAACTAGGCTGCTCCGAGCAGGTGCAAACTGTACTATTACACAGCAGGGCACAATCTACACGCACCACCTATATCCATAAATGGTCTAGGTTCAGGGCGTGGTGTTCTGCCAGACAAACTGCTCCTTCTTCTGCACCTCTTCCAGTCATACTGGACTACCTTCTGGAGCCCAAACAATCGGGGCTCTCCTTCAGCTCCATAAAGATACATCTGGCAGCAATCACAGCATTTTACCAGAAGATCGGCGACACCACTATCTTCACCCACCCTATCACAAAAAGATTCCTCAAAAGCATCCAGACCCCATACCCGGACATCAGACCACCTACTCAACCATGAGACCTCCAGTTGGTCCTCATATGTTTGATGCAAAAGCCGTTTGAACCGCTAGCATCCTGCTCTTTACTACACCCATCAATGAAAGCTGCGTTCTTAGTGGCAATTACATCCACCAAACGCGTAGGAAAACTTGGAGCTCTCATGGCTGACGCACCTTACACTATCTTTTTTAAGGATAAAATCACTCTCCAAACGCATCCCAAATTTCTCCCGAAGGTACATTCATCCTTCCACCTTAACGAACCTATCCATCTACCAACCTTCTTTCCTAAACCGCATGCGAACTCTTTTGAAGCAGCCATGCACACACTTGCTGTGTGCAGAGCATTGTCCTTTTATTTGGATAGGACTAAACCCCTAAACTTTTAATCTCAATCACAGAGCGATCTAAGAGCAAATCATTGTCCAGCCAGAGAATATCCAATTGGATATCAGACTGCATCCATTTATGCTACCAACTAAAGAAGACACATCCTCCAACTTCTGTTAAAGCACACTCTACCAGATCCATCTCAACATCTGTTGCATTCCTATGTAGACATCTGCAAGGCTGCCACCTGGGCTTCGGAACATACCTTTGCCAAACACTATGCCCTTACTCAGGGACCCTTGACTGACACTTGAATGGCTCGAGCCAGGCTCTCTACAGCTTTCTTACCAGATCCGAAGTCCCTACCATCCTAGAGATACTGCTTTTCAGTCACCTGGAGTGGAGCACTACAGGGACATCTCTTGAAGAAGAAGAAGAGGAGATTACTCACCTGTGCAGTACCTGATGTTCTTTGAGATGAGTGTCCCTGTGGGTATTCCACTACCCACCCTCCTCGCCTCTATTTCAGAGTCTGGAGAGGTCTCCGTTGTAGAGAAGGAACTTAGGAGTATCTGCTGCACACAAGCTGTTAAGGCACCATCAGTGCGAGAGGTAGGCACTGCGCATGTGCGGCCCGTGCGGGTACTGCTGTACAAATTTCCAAGCGAAGGCACAGGGACGCACCGGCACCTGGAGTGGAGCACCCACAGGGACACTCATCTCGAAGAATGCCAGTTACTGCACAGGTGAGTAACCTCCTCTTCAGTGTCCTTTTGGGATTACAGTGTATTTCTGCAGCAGATATTGTGAGTTGGGAAAAAATATAATAAAATTTGTATTTTTAAAGTAGTGAAACAATTATTGCAAGATAGGTATCATGTAAGCACTTCCCCTACCAAAAGTGTTACATAGATAACAGCAGAAATTTACAAACAAATTAATATAGAAAAGTTTTGATCCATATTACTGCCTGATCCCGTGCTTATTTAAGTCGATGGAAAGACCTGCATTTACTGTTATTATAATAGGTGTAGGACTGTTTGGACAGCTGACAAAAAAGAGAAGAAAATTGGTAAACAGTAATATTAATATTCAGAAATATTTCTTATGTTGTTCTACTTTTTTGGATAAATGTTTTATATTGTTCATTTGTTCATTTATGTTATTATTCAACAAATAAGTATCATTCTTCCACTTGCATTACATATTAGTAGCTCCTCTGTTAAAAAAATACCATCCACCTTTATTGTAGAGTTTTTTTTAAATATGTGCAGACAACTAAGAGCTATTTTTTTTCTGCACTGATGGTTTGCAAAAGGGCACTGATGGCTAAAAATGGACATATTCCTACATAGCTCCCAACTGACTGCCCTCCTGAAGTGTACAGGCTGTCCTCCTAATGTTATGCTTTACTTAGGATGCTGCTAAATATGGTCCTAATAGATGAAATATTGGATTTAGGAAGCTTCCATGCACTGTACATTTGTATTTCTTGCAAAATGTAATTTTATTTCGTTGGTAGTTCTTACTTTATAGGGTTTTTGGTTTTTGTGTTTTGTGTTTTGTTTTGTTTTTTTGCTACTGCTTACTATGCAAATTGCAAAATAGTTTAACTACTGCTAGGCCAATTTTCAAAGAAAAGATCTTTAATAGCATTCTGCTAACTCTATTCATATGTAATTATAACACAGATGTACATAATGACCAAAGAACTTTTAAAATTCAAGCTAAAGCAAATTTGTTCAAAAAAATACCATGAGGCCTACCATAATTTCTGTAGTGCAGCATTTTTTATTCATAAGGATCAAAACATAAAATGGAGCCTCTATTTATATAGTGGTAACCTTAAGTTTCCATAAAATAGGTGGTGTACATCAAATGATGAATCAAGCTAATGTAGAATATGAGTTTTGACTGGTGTACGGAGTTCAGAAAATATTTTGCCACAGAGTTTGTGTCCAATTTGTGTCATTGGGAATCAATGTAACCTTGCAGCCTATTCTATTCCTAAATTTTGTTTTTTACCTCATTATTCTATGGAAGGGTGGGTGATTTCCCAGCAAGACAATCCATGTTTTCTTTTATTTCCTCTTAACTAAAACCACACTGACTGAAAAGGGTGTTAATTACAGGTATTTATAACATTTTTCTGTATTGCCTGAGTCCTTCCAAGAAAGATAAATTGAATATCCTGTTGTTTATGCTGTTTGGGACTTTTGGGGAAGATCTAAAATACTAAGGCCTTCCCTGCTTAGTGTAGAGTGTCCACAGCCCGTGAAGTTCCCATGGCACTTTTTACAGGACCTTTTTGCTGGGTGTCATTGCTCAAAATTTCCCCTAATTCCACTGTTGCCTGATTTTTGTCAGCTGGTTGTTGCCTTTCATTGAAGAGGTAGCTGTTTCAGTAGCTATATATTATATATTACATGTGAAGCACTTTGAGATCACTCAGGATGAAAGATACAGTGCAAAATTATTAGTAGCAGTAGTAGTAACTAATGTCTGGATTTGGCAATTTTTCCATGTTTTTTTCTCATCATTTACAACCTTTAAAAATGATAGCTTCGGGGATGAAACTAAAGCACAGAATGGTGATGTGCTGACATGAAGCCATAATGCAAGCCCAGCTGTAACTAAAAAGGATCTTTCATTTATATCCTCCTCCTCCATTGAAAGAGACCTTCACGGCCACTCAGATTTGGGTTAAGGCTTTTCAAATATAGTGTTTCTGTCTGGATCTGTTTTTAGAACTGCACAATATGGGCTAAACCTTAGCCCCATTGAAGTCAATGGGAATTGTGCCACTGATTTCAATGGGTTCAGGATTTCACTGTATGACTTTTCAATTACATTTCCTTCCCCAGAATAGGACAACCTTTGCTTGGCTCCCATTTTCAGTCACAGCAAGCCAGAGATAGCTATCTTTACTCATCGTCAATTAAAATACATGCCTGTACTGTCTTGATGCCAAATTGTCACTGGCAAGAAGTTTTACTGAACATTACAAGTTCCCTTAAGGAGATTCAGAAAGTTTTCCAGGCCATCTAGAAGGTTGACTTGTTGTTCTATCATAATTCTGATAGATTCAAAGAAATCAAAATTAAGAGTCCACAGGGGGAAAGAAAAAGTTATGATTTGACTTTTACCCACTTGGAAGTGTTAATTAACTCTTAGAACATCTTG